CGTACTTTATCGTTCTTTCATCCTCTTCATCAGATATTCAAATGGCATTGTAGAGGTCTGTTTGTCACAAACAGTCTTGGAATACAGGCTCTCCTAAACCCTGGGGAATTTTTAAATAAGTTGTTTACGATTGGCCATGTCGGTGGAGTGGAACTTCTTAACAAAGCTTACCCCAGTATGTCGTGGGCGGATACAGAGTTTGATAAGAACCTCGAGGTAATACGTAATATTTGCAAACAGATTTCTCGCGTGGCTGGAAATTTTACGAGAAAACTCTATGTACTTTTTAAAAAACGAGCAGGAGTGTTTTATTAGGTTTAAAGTCCTAGGCTTTAAACCTAATAAAACACGACCTGCGAGTTTTTTAAATGGCTTCAAAAACGTTTGCATAATAAGTCAAATCTTTATATAAAATTCTTTATATAAAATTCTCAAATTCGTTAATAATTCTTGAGTAAATTAGCAAACGAAAACATTCTGTTACGTCTCGATTCATTTGAGAAGCCATATAAACAACTCGAGGCTCGAGCTCGTGTCTCACCGGGATATCCAAACACTCGAAAACAATGTATGAAAACACTCGCGCTTCGCGCTCGTGCTTTCATACATTGTTTTAATTCTCGTGTTTGGATATCCCGGTGAAACACTCGCTCTCGTTGTTCATATATTACATCTTTATATAAAAATCTTTATATAAAAGTCTTTATATAGTTTGCATAACAATGGTCTTTTGTTAAAGTGTTCTTTAGCTGGTATAAAGACGTATGCACGTGACTAATTTCTTACTCAAGATTGGACAATTGCTTCATAATGAGTTTTTGAGACTTAACCAGCATAAGTTGCAAAAATTCAGTAAATAGCAGGGTGTTGTTACCAACACCGCTGGATCCTCCTTCTCGCTTAAAAAACTTGCGATGTTTTTACGTCAAAACATCGAGCAGCATTAGGAGGTTTAAAAAAAATATCGAGCAGCATTAGGAGGTTTAAAAATTATTGGGTTCAAAGAAAATCCACCCCATCAAATAATCCGCCCCTAATACAAAATATTTCTAAAATCCATATATAGAATAGTCGTCGCATGCAAATTAGCCTGCGAACAGGCTATCAAGCTGAATTGAGAGCCTGCATCGATGACTAATGAATTTGAATATCTGCGTCTCAAATCGTGACGCGAAATTCTCATTGGTCAGATGCTATAATTTATATGTTTCCGCTGAGCTTTATATATGTCAACTGCTAAGCACTATGCATAAAAAAAACACATTAACTGATCAAATTGGTCTTGGCCGTCTTATCAACGTCTTATCTCAAAGCACGAAATGTTCTGTTTTGAGAAAACAGTAATTAAAACATTTGAACTTTTGCTTGAATGTCTTATATTTCGAAAAACAGTATAAACTGTACGGTCTAAATTTAGTTTGCACGGTCTAAATTTAGTTTGCACGAAAGTTGTAAACAACACCATATAAGGATAGACATTCCATATTTGGAAAAACGAACGTTGCGGGGCAGATATTCAAATTCATTAGTCATCGATGCAGGATCTCAATTCAGCTTGAGAGCCTGTTCGCAGTTTACATGCAAATCGGCCATTTCTACATGTGAACCTCTTAGGTTTATAATTAAAACTAGGATTATTTTCATTATAAAACAACAAGTCAGCACTATTTAAAGTACTCTCCCTAAAGTACTCTGCCTAGTAAGTATTCTGCCTAACAGAAGCTTCAAATCTGAGGCGCTTTTTTACAATATTTCCAAAAGTTTTCCGTGAACGACGTATAGCCTATCATAAATACGTACTGAATCATTTAAATGCTGATTAAAAAATTGCTAAAAATTCGAAAGGGTGAAAACATATTCATTTCACAGATCTAAGGCTGGTATACTTTAATTCAAGGTATATTATAATTATTTGCGGTAGTAATCGTGTTATTCGTGTGTTTATAAAATGCTCCGCCGTCCGCGCTCCGCCGTCCGCGATCCGCCGTCCGCGGTCCGCCGCCCGCGGCCTGGCCGTCCGTCCGCCTTTTATCTACACCCGTATGAAATATCCAGGGTTTTGGTAATTCTAAAATATATTCACCCTATTATTGTTTTCTGGTGTCAGTGGCATACAAGACATTTAATGTTGCGAGATGAAATCTAGGGGGGAGGGGATGGGGGGAGGGTGAAAGGCAACGCTTCCCCGGGAATTTTAAATGTATGAGGCTCGGAAATGTCACTTCAAGGTAATTCAAAGTTTTCAAACTCTTTTTTGTACCGAATTGAAGAACTTGGAAGGTAACACTGGTGACAAAAATTTGCTTCATAATCTGTTTTCGTAGTTCGGATAACTTCCCAGGGGCTATTATCACCAGCAAAATAAAACGTAATTGAACTACTTGGCGATAGTAAAGAGCTCACGCTATTTAAACAAGACCTGTCTCAGTTTAATCATTAATTAAATCATCTTTCCTATAAAATAATACGGGTTCTGAAGCCCCAGTAATTGTTCCTGCCTCCACTACACTTTCCGAATATCTCGCATATCCTGCGTGCATAGATGACGCTACCCTGCACGGAAAACCATTTTGTATTCCTATCAGACGCACTTTGACACGTACGTATAACGGTATAAGATTAATTAAAATAATATTTCGCTTGTGAATTCACTGTTTGAAGCGATAGAAATTAATTCGACACATAAGTAACCCTTGAATATATTTAGCCCGTTAAAGTACTGCAAAGGTATTAACATGTTGTGTTGCAACATGATTTTATAGACACGTGGCGTTGATAGCGTGGACGAGTTACCATATTTCCCATACAGAGATGATGGCTTGCTTATCTGGAAAGACGTTGGTGATTTTGCCGGGGATTATGTGAGATTGTAA